AATTTGTAATATTGATAACAAACTTGCATTAATGCTAAAGCAGGTACAGAAATCATAGATCGTTAATTTTCAAAGGTCAACCGTGAAAGTAAGAAGTTTTATTTGATGATGTCCGATGATGAGAAAAAAAAGGAGAGCCTTGAAGTTGCAATGAGGAAAATTCACACGACTGCACTTGTGCGCATCGAAATCGTATTAAATCAATCAAAGCACATTTTAGCGTTAAACAGAAGAATGGGAAACATGTACTGACTGTCTCGTTTTGTGATTGTGTTTGGTACACAGAGTAAATTTTAATTTATTATTGTAGAAAAATGTAGACGTTCTACAGTATGTTGGTTAGAATTAGAAAGATTACGGTTCCAAAAAGCAAGACATTTTGAAAAATCTCATATAAATTGGGAGTTGAAAAATTCTCATCCTACTGTGTAGAAGGCAGCGAAGACGCTCATTTCAAGTAACCCTAACTAATCGCATCAGGCCATTAACAACAAATTAGATCAGATCAAAATTTTCCCTACCTTGAAACCAGGCGCATCATTCTCATCCACCTCATCCGGTGTTGCCTTATCGCATTCTATACACACCTGTAATGTAAAGAATCAGAACCCAGGCTAGAAACGCATTCGTTCTAACCTTATCTGAAATGGCACAAGCTCCGACTCCAACGTTTCGAGTAAACGTTTCTTCTCGAAGTCGACATCGAGCACATTCTATAACCGCTGTATCCCCTGTGATATCGTCAGATGCTATCGACTCCACGTTAGAATCTGGAGCGATGACTTCAAAACGCTTAGTGTTTTTGATGGATATTGATCGGTTTATGTAATTTGCACCTGTTTCTGTCTGACATTCAGCATCGCTTGAGGCAGTGTTGGCACATGAGTCGGGTACAATTACCTGAAAAAGGTTTTTTTTTTACTAAATTGCACAAAAGAGCTGAAGTCAAAGTTAGAGTTTGTTTATCAGAATGTGATTTATCAGAGGCGATGAAGGATGACCAAACATAACCGAATATTAAGAAAAGTCTATAGAAAAATCGATACGGTTGATCCAAATCTGTAACTACTCAAAGCAAAAATAGTCCTCCACATCAACACTAAACAATCAGAGTCCACGATATTCTCTATTATTTCATTGGAAATTTCATTTTAAGCCATAAGAAATCTTTTATGCGTTTACTTCGACAGGTGTGATTGGTCAAAAGGAGATGCCACGCCCTCTCCACTAAATTTGGCTCAGCGCTTTCCACTTTAAGTCTGGAAATGGCTGCAAAAAAGATGGAAGAATTTCAAGAAAAAATCGATGAAGGTGAGCTTTCAACACCATAGTTACTAAGAATGGTAATAAGGAGATGTAGGGCCTACACAGAAAAAATAGTACTATTCAAACAATCCAAGCATGGTAAAGTCTTGTGAAATGCACCTCTTGAGCTTCTTCCTCTTCTGGAGTATCGGTTTGTATGGGGATATTACGATAGTAGATACGAGTTGTCATAGTCTCTCGATCCACACTTGCCGCTTTTTCAAACACTTCCGTTGCCGTTGATTGTTCAGTTGTCTCCACTTCTTTCAGTTTTTCTATTAAAATATAAAGGTTTATTCCAAGATTTGGGAAGATGGGCGGAGCTTACCTTTGTCCGTGTTCACGCCAAAGTGTGCTCGTGCATGTTCATCGGTTTGTAAAACAGCATCAGCCATGATCGGCTCCGCATCCACGCCCACTTCCGCCATTGTAGCCGGACTGGTTTGACATTCCTACAACAGGCCAATTAGTCGTCAGAGAAAAAAAAGAGCGAGATCTGATCCTGCAGAGTCCTGAAAACT